AATTATCAAAGTCAATTCTGATTATTATCAATTATCAAAGTCAACTGGGAACTGATTCTCCTTCCCATCTTATATAGTTTCCTACCGGCGGCAGAAAAATCTCTACTACCTTCCATTTTTCGAAATTACTGGAAGGCATTATACGGTTAAAGTTACGTGTAAGGGCCGAATACGGTTGCAGTTACATACGAAGATCAATTACAGTGCCAATTAAAATTATACAGGGACCGGATCAAAATGTCACCAAATGATCGCCAATATTGGCGACTTTTGGCGAGTTCTCTCCAAATTTGGCAATAAAATTAGACACTAAAACCATCACCAATTTAGCGAGATAGCCATTTACCTCAATGTTAAATAGACTTACCCCTATAATCTTATTTTTTTCGGCAAAGCCTCGCTTGTCTTGAAACCGTTCATGTTCATTATACAAAAAAATACTATAATTTCACTAAAATTATTTACATATCTACAAAATTCATAACAGTAATTTTTTGAAACTTTCCTCCTCTCTCATGCAACAGAAATGTGTGAAATTATAATAATGCAAGCTGTGTAAAGAAATGCAGCAAGAAAAAAATGTATTTTAAAGATATTATCTGTTGACATTTTTTAAAGGAAATATACCTTGTTTCCTCACTTATTTTTCTCCCGAGTTTTTTAATGCAAGGTTCTGAATTTTTTTTAAATATTCCTGTAGTTTTCCCCTTCTTCGCTTTTAGAGAACAAGCTGTCTTAAATTTTAAATCAGATTCGTCCACGTAATGATTGGTTTCGTCTATTGACAAGACAAACCTTTGATAACTAACTGCGAAAATCACCCTGAACCTTTCCGTACTAATTGTTGAACTTTATGCCAGCCTAACGCAAGAATCGACGAAACAGCGAAGTGAACAATTATTGTCATCCACTTTACGGTTTCGCTGAGTCAGCTGCACATTGATCTTCTGTAATTACACTGCTGGCCATTAAAATTGCAACACCACGAAAGAAAGATATTTATTGCATGTAAACAGTACAGTATGAAGACAAAATGATTAAATTTGTAAACAGTTTGGGTTCTTACAAGGGTACGAAATTAGTAGTAACAGCTGCCACCTCTCGCAGTTAAAACGGCTTTTACCCCGTTAGGCTTGGAGTCAAACTGGGCTTGAATCACAGAAATTGGCAACTCATTCCATGCCTCTTCAAAGTTGATAAAGTGGTCTATGCCACACTTTATCAACCGTATCAGCTGGACAGAAGTGGCGGGCCAATCTCTCAGCAGCCCACGACCACATGTTTTCAATGGGTGACATATCTGGAGACTGTGCAGGCCAAAGCAGCAGTAAAATACCCTGTGTATCTAGGAAGGTTAGAACACCACGTGCAATATGTGGTTTTGCATTATCTTGTTGGAAGATGGCGTTTGGCAGGCCTCGAAGATAAGGCACAACCACTGGACGAAAGGTGTCAGAATGGTACCGATCTAAGATCAAGTTACGGTCGATCCGAACTACAGATGTGCGTGTCGTGTACCCAATGGGTACCCAAACCATCACACCAGGTGCAGAGCTCCTATACAATATCGAATGCAAGTAGACGATATGCGATCTCCTTGGAGCCTCCAGACACGTATACGACCTTCAGAATATTGCACGCAGAACCGGAGATCATCTGAAAAGACGACATTGTGCCACTCCTGTATACAGCTTTGTCGTTCGACGCACCAGGATCACCGTCTCGCTCTATGCTGCATTTTCAAAGGAAGTCGAAGTAATGGTCACCGTGCTTATAGTCGACGTTGCTGCAAATATCGACGAACCGTACGAAAGGATACTGTGCGGGTTGGAGACATGCCCATTTCCCTGACTATTGGTCTGTGATGTGGTTGTACGGTTTTGTACGGCTGACTTGACAATATGTCTGTCCTCTCGGTCGTTAGTGATGGGAGGGCGTTGAGATCCTTCATGCCGTTCAGTATGACCCTCAGCGAACCATTGATTCCATATTCGCATAACAGTGGTTGGATGTCGAAGAGTGCGATGGGTAACATTACGGAACGATAATCCATACTCTTGATAGGCAACGATCCTGCCTCTATTGAATTCAGACTCTTGCTTGTAAGCATGTAGTCAGCAGAATATTCTGAGCAAACTCCGACCTTACAAAGTGCTTTCCGAATGAGAAACCCACTACACAACTATTCTTCTATACAGTGCTTCATATATCGTTTCTCCCTCCTGCGTCGTCTAAATGCGTTGAAATACAATATCCCATATCCCAACCTTTTCTTCCTTTCATATGATTTTGACGTTCGTCAGATCATTCCTTCTCGGTGTTGCAATTTTAATGGCCAGCAGTGTAGTTATGGATTATTTGATGCCTAAGAAGTAGCAGAGACAACAATAAGACGTGCGGAATTCAGTTTAAGGGCAATAGAAATGAAGACATATTCTCATTAGATATCGTAATGTTAACATCTTGTTGGAAAAAAATAATATTGTAATAGTTTATCCGCGAATACTTTTTATTTGTTATGGTCTTACTCTAAGCGTGTCTTTCAGAAATTAAATTATTCGCATAATTTTCTCCTCTCTGTTTCCGGACGATAAAATTAGCAATGAAAGAGGGATACATGAGGAAGTACGGTATTCAAGATTTTTTAAATATTTAAAAGTTTAAGATCAGTTTTTCTATATTCCTAATAAAGCCTATATAAGATTTCATATATAACTAAAATCACGGTTCATTTTGAAGCATATTTTTAAGTATTCTTATAGGCATAAATGCAGTTATTTGTGTGGACTAGAAAGTGCCCAGAAAAATCATGGAAATACAAATTACGTCACATTTAAGGAATTTACGAAAGAGGTCTGGCTATGCTCTTCCCTTGGTTTCTGTATAATTCCGGACACAGAGAAAATAAAACTCAGCGTCATTCGAAAAAAAGTTCGATTTAGAGAATATTTCGAGTTAACGGAAAACGCTGCTTTCAGGGGAGTTTTATGATGTATTGGCATATTAATTACAACAAATACGAAATTATTTATCTATCCAAATTTGGGAGGGAAGCTTGGAGCTAACTCGAATTCGAATTAAAATGAATTCGAAGATTCAAGTGTTCAGTGCTTTATCTTGAATATTTGACTTTTTTCTATTTTTTTTTTTTTTTTTTACTTATTACGTGCTGCACCCTTAGGCACTACACGGAAAGGAAGGGATGCCCCGTGGAAACTGGCCCTTTTTAAAGGAAACTGGCTCGTATGCACGTTACACATGGGGAAAACGTCCATGCAGCCTCCCGGTTGCCAGAACTCAAACCTCGGACCGAGCTACCAGTGTTCAGCGGCTTTTTCCGTTCGACCGTTGTTGGGCCACAATATCTAATTTCAGAAATATAAATCTGCTGTGTTTAAAAATAATATGTGAGCATCTAAAATGTAATTCTATTTTCTAGTTTCTTTACATTTTGTTTTTGATTTATTTTTTAATCTATGAACGTGCAGAGATAAGATATCATTATATGCTTTTTCCTCTTTGGAGAGAAACCAATAACCAACTACATCTCCCAAATGAATAACTAGATAACTCCTTAGATCAATGAATGCCTTTTTAAAGCTTGTTTGTAAATTCAAAATGCATTAAAAAATAACTTTCTTTTCCTCGGTTACTGTCGAGATATTAAGAGCAATTTGGTTACTCTCCTATAGAAAAAAGCAAAGTAATGACATTAGGATGAAAATGTTCACTACGAAAAATATTCATAAACGGTACTGTCCATACCCTTGTAAAAGCATTATAATTTCTACTTATTTCTTCCGGACAATATTTTCTAACTATGCCAACCGGATCAGAGTTCGGGAAAAATTATTACTCTTACAGAATAGTACATCTCAGAGACAAGCCTCCAGCAAGAAGTTTTCTGATCTTTCTTATTAAATAATAAAAAAATTGTTTGTATGTATGTATATATGTTTGTTCCCGACATTTGGAAAAAACGGGATAACCTAATGCCATTAGATTTTGAACACACATAACTTTCCACCCGAATATGTGCTTCTTGAAGTAGAATTTTGATTTTTTTAAAATTTATTCATTTAATATTCTGCATGAATTGAATGAATTTTTAATTAACAAACTGAGAAATTAAAAATCAATGACCTGCCACCGCTCCAAATAAAACATCTTCGGCGCTTTAGTATGTTGCCATTTTGCAAAATGTAAGATATCGATTTTCAGCCGGTATAGTGATGAGTGACGCTGATTGCCGTACCAATGAGTCCGCGTTAGAATCCCGGCGAGGGCATGGATGTTTGCAAATATATAATGTCTGGGCTGCAAGGGGCACACTGCTGTGGAACCATACCTGAACGACTAATGGTAAATTTCCATTTCTATCCATCTGAATATGGCAAAGCAGCAAAGACTACCTGCCTGAAAGGAGAGATACCTTCGTGAAGGACTTTCTGCATGATGCTGGCTCGCATTCACGTTACACGTAGGGAAAACCGCGAAAAGCAAACACGCAGCCAACCGGTTAGTTTGGGCTTAAACCCAACCAGCCGGTTAAAACTGCTGAATATAACTACCAGTATTCAGCAGTGCGCGATTCTTACCACCACGTTTTCTTTTTAATTGACCTCAAATTTCAGTGTGTATTTCTATAATGTCTACAGCAAATGTGCTGTACACGAGGGATTAAAGAGTTAAGATTCGAGAAACTCTTAAGATTTCGACTCCAGGAAAAGACTTTAGGATTAATCCTACCTACCTCTGTTAAGGAGAAATATAACATTTTCTTTATCTCGCAAGTATAACAGAATAATTAAATAAAGATTGATGCTATTCATATTCGTTTTCTCTGATTAATCCCTTAAGAGACGTAATATGGGGGGAAAACATGCAGTTACAGGGAAAAATCCCCACCAGGTAAGGGGGATGGCATATCCACGCCATCGCTGTCGTAGTACGCTCTGCCAATGGTAAACGATCGTGCGGGTCACGAGCATAGGTAGAGGGAGAAGTGGGGACGCGAGGGGCAGAGAATAATCTTCCGCCGTCCAGCTGCGCCAAACGACACTTCAACAGAGTAGTTTGTGTGTGTGTGGAGTAGAGTTGCATTTCTGTCTGTTGTATATTCTTTCGTGCAGCCGGTTTGGGGATATTGCGTGATAATGATTTATAAAGATGTACTGAAATGACACCAACTTTTTTATACGAACTAGGAACTGATTGGTAAGTTATTCGTTGATAGTTACTTTTTTATCAAGTCTTCTTTTATACACAGGAAAAACTGAACTTTTTTTGGTTATTTTGGGAAATGCTATTAAATTTATTTAACAGTTTGATTAATAGGAATTCACTAAAACATTTATTTGGTTTATTCTGGGTATTAAAACTGTAGCGAAGGAAAGACGTACTGCTTCTAATTCTCCTCACAAAACTTTCTTTACTTTTTATTCATCATATTCAGTTACGGTTAGAAGTTTACTCACTTTTTGTCTTTTTACTTCATTACCATGTGGTTAGAGTTTCAATATAAATATGAGGGAGAGGGAGGATAATTCTGTTTTTTTTGGGGGGGAGGAGGGTGGTAGTCATGTTAGTATTTAGAATCACTTTTCCACTTTTACATGGTCTTTCACAAGAGTTTTCATTTGTTCCTTCGCATTTATAAAGCTAATGTCTAGAATGCTATTGAATAACTGTCACGTAATTATTCTTGTTTATATATTTTGAATTCCTGACGTTTCCACATTAAGAAGCTTAAAATGAATCTCTAAAAATGCCACTATATGTCTGTTTACAATAAAAAATATTTAATAATTCATTGTTTTTCCACCAAAAGCATTTTGAAAATCAATTCCAGCTGGACCAGTAAATGAAAAAAAAAAAAAAAAAAAAGCGTTATAAATAGTTAATTTTAAGAAATCTTTTTATAAATATTCTTATTTGAGAACATATCGGTTTATATAAACAGTTAATTATATGTGCATGCTTCAAATGTTACTGTGCGTCTGTTCTATTCTATTAAATTATAGATGAGTTGTAAATGCAGAATAAACCATTTTCGCATAATTTCTGGTGTTCAAAACTGATCTAATATTGGAAATATTTAAATGCAGTTTTTCATCCTAAAGAAGTTATAATATAAAGCATACAAATTTTCCTCTAGAGTATAATAGAATTTGCGCCATGAGACACATTAACACTGAAAATTGTTAAACATGAATTTTGTTATGATGCACAGTTATAGTACGTAGTAGATAACTATATCAACAAACGGTTGTTAAAATAAAAAATATAAAAGAAATATATAATTTTTGGCTAGGCCGTTAGAGGCCATCTGAAATAGTCAGTATCACTAAAATGCTCAGTTCTAGCTATCTAAGTAGATACGGCCATGTAAGCCAATCTAAGCTGATTTCTAATGACAATTTTGCAATGAAGATTTCGATTAAATTTAAAAATTGCGTATTTCGTGAAAGCTGAAAATTACGAACTAAACAGGATTTATTTTTATTTCTTCTAGTTGTTAAATTTCCGGAAACAACTGCGAAGAAAAAATATAATGCTAATAAAAAAAAAAAAAAGTCCATCGAAAAACTACAACGAGTTAAAAAAAAATAGCCTTTTATTTAGATGTTAAGTATTTAGTTTTAGTGTATCAATATTAAAAACTACTTTTATTGAAGTTTTCGTATTTATCAACATTCTGTTGTTTAATTTATAAAACATGTTAAAAAATAGAATTGTATGTATTTATTTGTATGTATATATTTATTGTATGTATATATTTATTGTAATGTATATATTGTAATGTATATATTTATTTTCGCGTTTTGGAAGAGGGAAGGAATAATCTTCTAGCAATGGTGAAAGGTGCATTAGGCAAAAAAAATTGAGTACAAATATTTCCTAGAATTGGTAATATTTTCTATTTTGCTAGCACACGAAATCTGCAAATTGGAAACAATAAACACCTCATTTAGTAAAGTATTTCTGCGAATGATGGCTTTGGTTTGATTTTGTGGTGCTATCCTATTTTATGGACGGAAACAACTTTGTCCGAGTCATAGCACAACTCACACACTCTTTATTTTTATAGCTTTTATAGGTACGATAAAGGTACATACAGCTTTAATTTATTTAGATATGATACACGTAAGGCCTAGTTTATGTTGATAAAGGTGATCAGATGTACCGGATTTTACTTCAGTATCCTGCTTCAATATATGTCCAAAATTCTGCAAATATTCTCGTATTTTGTAAATAGTTCATACATATTTTGTTAAAGCCTCTTTATACAGTTATGGACAAGGTTTTGTGGATCAGAAATACATTCAATAATTAGAATATTAGTACATTTCAGGTAATTCGCAAAGTCTATGAAAATGAATGGTTTGTGAAAGAACTTAACTTGCGTTTTGTACTTGATTAACGTGCATTTAGTAAAAATTAAACCAGTTACAGAATTTTAAAAGGATCATTTTTGGAAAATATTTTGCAAGATAAGGCGATTATAAATACAGTGAAACATTTCTTGGCAGTCCCCTTCCCATAGACGAGCCCCTCTAAAAAAAACTGAATAAACATCGGTACAACACGATAAAAACAGTCAAAGAGATCACTTTCCACAGTCGGATAACCAGCGTCTGAGCGGATAAGATTAACTGAACACTGGTATTTCAAAGTGGGTTTTAATCCCAATGAACGGGCTAGCTGCATTGAGCGCTTTCGCGGTTGTTCCTAAGGTTGCTCTGATACAAGTTTTGCTTTTAAGTGACGTCACTGACTCCCAATTTTTCTCAAAAGTAATTACTCCTACGTGTGTTCACTTCTGCCACTTCTGTAAGCAAGTGAAGACAGTGTCAGGAAGATCCTAACCCTGGTCATCTACTGATCTTGGTTCTCCTTATGTATAGTGTGGCTTCATTAACGAATGTTTTCTCTTAAAAATTAGTAATATAATTAAATGAAAGTTATTAATTTTTAGCGAATCTTTTCAAAATTGGAGAATTCAAAAACTCGAATCTTCGCGCCTTTTTCATCATTCGAATCTTTCCAGTTCTCACCTAGACCTCAGCTTTAACTTCGAGGAGATTAATTTTATAGAAATTAAAAAAAAAATACTTTTTGAAGTTTCTGTGATAACTTGGATCACCGGCCATGACTGCCACTCTCTTAATTTTTGTTTCTCTTTACGTACTATTTCTGGAACATAAAGACAGAAGTTGTAATCACTATTTATTGCCCATAAAAACGTTCTCTTGCCACATAATGTTGTTAAATTTGGAATGATATATTAAGGAATTGCTTTTGTTCTGAAGAAAAACTTTTCTGATGTTAGTACTAATAATTAAGGTAATAAATGCTTACTACAGCAGTCTTCTATCCCCAGTACCTACGGAACTGCTCTACTTATTCGTTACTCATAAACAGTTATCCATTACAAGTTTTCTTATCTTACTTTATTCATTGTTCCTTTCCCATCAGTAGTTTTTTACTGCATTGATTAAATATATAAGGTCTCAGAGAATGAATGGCAAATTTTTATGAAGTCTGTGTGAAATGCATATTACGTATGTCAATAGTTTTATGCAATTAAGTCACTTAAAAAGATTATGTGCACGTGTTTTGTGTGTTGCATGATGATACTGCGACGCGTCCTCTGAAAATCCATGTGTAATATACCCTACTGCAGTAAAGCAAACAGTAAATTAGCGCCATCTGTCGGCAAATTGATAATGAAAATAGATTTTTCAATTTTCGTTGCTAATTGTGTCGACAGATGGCGCTGTCTTCCTATTTGCTTTACTGCAGTAGTGTATAAAAATAGGACCGTTACTCCTGCTTGCTTTCTTCATGCCAGGTTTGCTCTACCCATGGATAAATAAGGTGTTGGTAAGAGCGCGATAGATATCGTGCTGAGGCCAGCCTAACTGACAAGTATCAAAGCTACTTCTTTCCAGTATTGCAAATTTCTTTGCTTCTGGTAAAGAGGGACTTATTTGCCCTCGAAATCGACGAAATTTTTTGTCTAAACCTACAAGTTTTTTTGTTTTTTTTCTTTCTTTTCTTTTGCTAATTTTGACGGAATTATATGTTTTAATTTTTTAGTTAATTTAGCTAAAAAAAGTTTTTTTATATAGATTCCCTGAAATTATAATAGTAAATCTTAATATTTTAGACTACTCTAAAGTCTCCACACTACAGTCTTTGGTTTCTGTTTGTTTTCTAATTTAAAAGTAAACAATTTTAGTAATGTAATCATCTGATATTACATATGTTGCCAGTCTAATTATCGAGTTTATTAATAATTACTGGTGCAATGCTACAGTAAATGAACTTATATCAATTCCCCCATTAGTGCTATATAAGTTCATTGAGCAAAAAGTTTTGCTTATTAAAAAACTTAATAGAGAGCGTTTTCTGTGCATGTTACAGAACCGTAAACTGCATTTCTTCAATTCCTTTCATAATGCTTTCCTGCCTAATTTGACGAAAAAAAATGAACATAATTTTACTAATTGACGAAGTCATTATATTTAAGTGGGTTTTGAAGAAACTATCTATACGAAATTGAAAGTTTTCTTACATTGATACAATGTTAAACTGAATTTTTTACTCGAATTTCTTAAGTTTCAGTAATTCTACGTATCATTGGTTAACTAGATTACCTGCTTCAGTAGCAAATTATTCTACCAAAGAAAGCTGAATAATTTATTTTCAGAGAAGAGAGACCTTGTTGTTTATTCCCGAAGTTCATTAGAAATTTCCATTTGAAATTAATACCGATCAAAATTGAACTTCAACAGTTTTTAAATTTTAAGGTTTATGCGTAAGACTATAGTTTTCTGATGCATAGTTTAAGACTTCTGGACTACTTGTCTTTAAGACTACTTAAAGTATTATTATTGTATACAAATACATCAGTAGTAATGAGCCCACCAGCAGCCGAATAGTAAAGTCGCTGAACACTTGTAGTTCAGTCCGGGGTTCGAGTTCCGGCGAATGGCCTGGCTACATGGGCGTTTTCGTGGTTTCCCTCGTGTGTAATGCGTTTACGAGCTAGTTTCTCTTAGAAAGTCCTCCACGAAGGTATCCCTCCTTTAGGCAGATAGCCCTCGTGTACTTTGCCGTAATTAAATAAACTAAACCATCATCTGGCAAAATTATGGCATTGGCAATGCCAAAGCCATATTCTGCCTGTCCAAATACAAATGCCAAATACC